CAGTGTGACTTCACAGAGTCTAGAAGCTGGATTCCACACACTTTCATTCAGTTTTTTACACACAGCCCACAAAATATTGATAGCAGAAACTTTAGGAGGTTCAAAAAAGATACTGCAGAGGCATTAGCAAAAGCAACACACTTCTTTCTCTTCCAGCATTCGAGGGCCCCTGAGTAATTGCACCACTCGGAGCATCCATATCAAGCCCTGCTCAATTATTTAAGTTAGAAAAGGAGAATTATAAGACCAGTTAGAAAATAAAACAGTTTTTTCTTTGGCCCACCTGGATAACCAGATCAGAGATGGGATCATAGATCAGATGGGATGTATAGATCAGAGATGGGAATTGTGCAAAGAAATTGAAGCTCCCATGAGCCCCCGCCAGTCAAATTAATGGTGACGAATGCTAGGAATTGAAGTGCAATAACATATGGAGAGCTTCTTTTTTTTTTTTGTCATGTCAGGAGCGACTTGAGAAACTGCAACTTGAGAAACTGGTGTGAGAGAATTGGCCATCTGCAAGGACATTGCCCGGGGAACGCCCGGATGTTTTTGATGTGTTACCATCCTTGTGGGAGACTTCTCTCATGTCCCTGCATGGGGAGCTGGAGCTGATAGAGGGAGCTCATCCACGCTCTACCTAGGATTCGAACCTGTGACCTGTCAGTCTTCAGTCCTGCCAGCACAGGGGTTTAACCCACTGCGCCACCAGGGACTCCTCATATGGAAAGCTGCATTATTTTCATCCTTATTATGCCCACCACTAATGCGTATAAAGGCACACAGCAGTGCTCTCCTTTGCCTCAGTTAGCGAATGGTAGCAAATACAAAGTATGCCCTTTATCTGTAGCATTGCTAGAAACGTGACCTGTAATAAGGCTGCCCCTGCTAGGATTACAACCGTGGTAGTACAGCGGGTTAAACCGCTAGCTGCAGAAAAAATGCTGACCAGAAGGTTGGCAGTTCAAAGCCACAGGTCGGGGTGAGCCCTAGCTTCTGCCAACCTAGCAGTTTGAAAACATGTAATGTGAGTAGATCAATAGGTACTGCCTCAGTGGGAAGGTAAGGAGCCCCCGGTGGCGCAGTAAACCCCTGTGCCGGCAGGACTGAAGACCGACAGGTTACAGGTTTGAATTTGGGGAGAGTGTGGATGAGCTCCCTCTATCAGCTCCAGCTCCTCATGCGGAGATAGGAGAGAAGTCTCCTACAAGGACGATAAAACATCAAAACATCCAGGCGTCCCCTGGGCAACGTCCTTGCAGACGGCCAATTCTCTCACACCAGAAGCGACTTGCAGTTTCTCAAGTTGCTCTTGACAAGACAAAAAAAAGTGAGAAGGTAAAAGGCGCCCATGCAGTCATGCCAGCCATCACAACCAGGAGAGTCTATGGACAACAGCCTCCTCAGCAAGGAAAAGTGAAACAAGAGCACCTCCCTATGGCCAGAGTTGAGCATCGCCTCCAGATGTAGGAGATAGAAAGGGAAACCTTTGCCTTTGTTTGTGTATTGTATGTCATTGTTCACTGTATAACAGGCATTGAATGTTTCCCTATATATGTGCATACTGTAATCCACTGAGTCCCCTTGGGGAGATAGAGCGGAATATAAATAAAGTGTATTATTGTTGTTGTTGTTGTTGTTACTCCTTCGAGTGTGTTTGTCTACCAAAGCTTGTTTTGAGGCCTTCTCACATCTCTGTGAGAATCTCCACAGGGCTTGCATCCCCATCCACTCTTCCATTAAACCCCTTTCCTTGTTCTTGGTGAAATGTCTCAACCAGGACAACCTGCCCCACCCTCCTCTCTTTTCCCCAGCTATCCTGCACTCTTTTACCCCAGCCATCAGATCTCTTTTCACCTCAGAGTGAAACACTTTCCTTGTTTTCGGATGGGCTTGCTGCAGGAGGTGTCACTTCTGTGGCTACCTTTTTGGCATCAAATGGGAAACTGCACACACTGGAAGCTTGTTGTCCTGTCCCCGATTGACCGCGGGAGAGGTAAGGTCAAGTACAAAGGAACAACATCAGAGCCTTGTGCATAACCAGACTTAGGAGCCAAGGTGGATGGAGGTAAACACACATGGCACGACCCAGGCTGGGAAAAGAGGAGCTAAAGAGCTGTGGGCCTCAAAGGCAATCATAGAGGTGGTTTGTGGTCTAGCCAGGTAGACTCAAGATGTGCACCCATCATTAATCCAGGACAGAACATTCAGTGTCAAAAGGTCAAAGATATAAGGTGTGGAGAACCAGATTCAGCACCATAGGCAGAGTGTAGTGAATCTTACCTAGTAGGCCGAAAAGGAAGCCTGGATAACAGTAGGGCAAACCTCCATTTTGAGAGTGTATGTCAGGGAAGCAGCCATCTTGAGTGGGGATAGCTAGAAGATGGGAGGAGTTTGAGGTCTCAGGATTGGCTAGAGCAGAGGGGAGGAGCCAAGTCTTAGGAGGAAAAAGATTTCAGCTTCTGTGGAGAAGAGAACTGGGAGTTGGTGGGAGAAGGAGTGTTTTTGGAAACTGGGTTTTCAGAGAGAGAGCGTCCGTGTCAGGAAGGGCTGATTAACTGACAGGAAAGGTCTGACAGCTACCTGATTTCTTGTGGGAGATAGCACAAGGGATTAGCTCTCTAGACTGAGTTAGTTAGCAGTAAGAACTTGGGGAAGAGTTAGCTGGTAACTCAGGGGGACTACCTAGGTTAGGTTAGTCAGTGACTCATTACTAGTTCTCTGAAGTAGAGTGAGGGATTTTTGTAACCAGAAGCTATATCTGTTTGATTAGCTCTGTATGTAACTAAGGGTATGTAACTAAGCTCTGTATGTAACTAGACCACACCTGGAATATTGTGTCCAATTCTGGGCACCACAATTCAAGAGAGATATTGACAAGCTGGAATGTGTCCAGAGGAGGGCGACTAAAATGATCAAGGGTCTGGAGAACAAGCCCTATGAGGAGCGGCTTAAGGAGCTGGGCATGTTTAGACTGAAGAAGAGAAGGCTGAGAGGAGATATGATATCCATGTATAAATATGTGAGAGGAAGCCACAGGGAGGAGGGAGCAAGCTTGTTTTCTGCTGCCATGGAGACTAGGACAAGGAACAATGGCTTCAAACTACAAGAAAGGAGATTCCATCTTAACATGAGGAAGAACTTCCTGACTGTGAGAGCCATTCAGCAGTGGAACTCTCTGCTCCGGAGTGTGGTGGAGGCTCCTTCTTTGGAAGCTTTTAAACAGAGGCTGGATGGCCATCTGTCAGGGATGATTTGAATGCAACATTCCTGCTTCTTGGCCGAATGGGGTTGGACTGGATGGCCCATGAGGTCTCTTCCAACTCTTTGATTCTATGATTCTAAGTGAAGAAACTCTTTTCAAGCAACCAGCAAGCTATAACATTTTTGTAACAAGTTTGTGCCTCTCAGAAGAAGAAGTTAGTTGTCTGTTTTAATAAATAAATCTTTTCCTATTTAACTTTCAAAAAGGTCTCAATCATTCCTCAATCTATCTATCAGTAATCCTTTGTGATAATTCTAGCCTCTTTAACATCCTGATACCACAGAAAGATCTTTTATCCAAGCAGTCATTCTGGGAGCTAAGGGGAGAACTGTGTTAGCAGAGAAGGGAAAAGTTTACCTCAAAGAATCATAGAATCAAAGAGTTGGAAGAGACCTCATGGGCCATCCAGTCCAACCCCCTGGACACAATATTCTAGGTGTGGTCTAACCAAAGCAGAATAGAGGGGTAGCATTACTTCCCTAGATCTAGACACTATGCTCCTATTGATGCAGGCCAAAATCCCATTGGCTTTTTTTGCCGCCACATCACATTGTTGGCTCATGTTTAACTTGTTGTCCACGAGGACTCCAAGATCTTTTTCACACGTACTGCTCTCGAGCCAGGCATTGTCCCCCATTCTGTATCTTTGCATTTCGTTTTTCCTGCCGAAGTGGAGTATCTTGCATTTGTCACCGTTGAACTTCATTTTGTTAGTTTTGGCCCATCTCTCTAATCTGTCAAGATCATTTTGAATCCTGCTCCTGTCCTCTGGAGTATTGGCTATCCCTCCTAATTTGGTGTCGTCTGCAAACTTGATGATCATGCCTTCTAGCCCTTCATCTAAGTCATTAATAAAGATGTTGAACAGGACAGGGCCCAGGAAGGAACCCTTCTTGTGGCACTCCGCTTGTCACTTCTTTCCAGGATGAAGAGGAAGCATTGGGGAGCACCCTCTGGGTCCGTCCATTTCACCAATTACTGATCCACCTCACCGTAGTTTTGCCTAGCCCACATTGGACTAGTTTGTTTGCCAGAAGGTCGTGGGGGACCTTGTCAAAGGCCTTACTGAAATCCAGGTACGCTACATCCACGGCATTCCCCGCATCTGCCCAGCTTGTAACTCTATCGAAAAAAGCGATCAGATTAGTCTGGCATGACTTGTTTTTGACAAATCCATGTTGACTATTAGCGATGACCGCATTTGTTTCTAAGTGATTGCAGACCACTTCCTTAACAATCTTTTCCAGAACCTTGCCTGGTATCGATGTGAGGCTGACCGGACGGTAATTGTTTGGGTCATCCTTTTTTCCCTTCTTGAAGATTGGGACCACATTGGCTCTCCTCCAATCTGCTGGAACTTCTCCCGTTCTCCAAGAACTCTCAAAGATGATTGCCAATGGTTCCGAAATGACTTCCACTAGTTTTAAAAATCCTAAGACCTCTTGGGTTGGTGGCAGCATTAAACCAAAAGAAGACTGAAAGACAAACAGTGTTCACTCTACCATTACACACATCTAACATCATCTCGCTAACATACTATTGTCCAGTAGCGTGATATTACATATAATCCTTTATACAGAGCAATAGCTGCCATTTTGGATGGCATGCAAAAGATGAAGATATAGGTCCTCCCAGTGGAAAGCAAGCAGGGCACAACATGGATGATACAGGCCTTCTCTTGAACTCTGCATGGTTCCCCCTATGTGCTAATTTCTCGCAGAGACCACGCCACAAACACTGTGCCAGAGATTTAATGTGAAGCTTTATACAGTCACTTTGTCTGTAGTACACACATATAAAAAATCAAGAGGGGTGTGGACAAAGATCTTTCCCCCCTCTAAGACCCAGTCAATATCTACAAGAGCACATAAGCACACAGATACTCATGTTCCCTCTAGTCCTGGGATATCACACTCAAAGACTCTGGGAACTCGGACACAGCTGAAAGGCGAGGGGCAGCAGCATGAAGAGGGCATGCCAAAGTAGCCAGTGGACCTTCACCACGTGCTTTGGACACTAGAAATCCAGTGTCCCCTGCTTCCCCAATAAGAAAGGCTTCCCCTACCCTTTTGGGATAAAATCCCTTGGGATGCTAAATCAGGCAGCTTTAGCATTTTGGGTAAACTGATCATCAGTCTCTGCTCCGGAAAATTTTAAACAGTGGGCATAGAGAGGGTTAGCAGTCCATTCAAAAGCTGTAGCATCAAGGATGTTGTGTGAGGGATTAGGGTGTGTGGAAGAGAATACTGCTAGAATGGGCATGCCAACCCAATCCATACCCAGGATGTGGGGGAGGGGGCTCAATAAGATTCCACCTCTCACCAAAAAGAAAAAAAGAAGAAAAAGATGAATGTACAGCAACCAGCAGGTAGGGTGGAGTTTGTTGGTCTGGGGATCACTCTTCCTTCTTATCCTTTGGGCCGTCGTAAGATTTCTGAGAGAAAAACAAAGAACAGAAGTGTTAGGAGTAGAGTGGAATGGTCTTGTTTGGCAAGCTTTGGAACAGAGTTATGGATTCGGTTGGCCCTTGGTATCCACTGGGGTTTTGTTTGTTTATTTCTTTATTTTATTTACAGTATTTGTATACCGCCCCTCTCAGCCTTCCGGCGACTCGAGGCGGTTTACAAGGCAAAATTCAATACCACCAAAAACACAGTTACAATATATATACTTTAACATCAATAAAATCATAACAGTTGTAATAAAACATAATTCAATAAATACTCATTAAACCAATGTCCAATCCATCTTGTAGTTGATTCCGTTCTTATGTCCGTTACTCAGTATTCGCAAATGCCTGCTCGAATAGCCATGTCTTGAATTTTTCTGAAATGCTAAAAGCGAAGAAGCTGATCTAATCTCCATAGGAAGGGCGTTCCATAGCCGAGGGGCCACCACTGAGAAGGCCCTGTCTCTTGTCCCCGCCAGCCGTGCTTGTGATAATGGCAGGACCAAGAGCAGGGCCTCTCCAGACAATCTTAAGGTCCTCGAAGGTTCATAAGGGGAGATGCATTCAGACAGGTAAGTTGGGCCAGAACCGTTTGCAGTGGTTCTCAACCTGGGGTCCCCAGATGTTTTTGGCTTTCAACTCCCAGAAACCCTATCAGCTGGTAAAGTGCTTGGGTTTTCTGGGAGTTGTAGGCCAAAAACATCTGGGGACCCCCAGTTGAGAACCTCTGGTTTAAGGCTTTATAAGTCAAGGCCAGCCCTTTGAATTGTGCCCGGTGGCAGACTGGCAGCCAGTGGAGCTGGCGCAACAGGGGGCTTATATGCTCCCTGAGAGCCGCTCCAGTTAGCAACCTGGCTGCCGTCCGTTGGACCAGTTGAAGCTTCCGGACAGTCTTCAAAGGCAACCCCACGTAGAGAGTGTTGCAGTAGACTATACGGGATGTAACAAGAGCATGGGCTACCGTGGCCAAGTCAGACTTGCCAAAGTATGGACATGGCTTGCGCACAAGCTTTAACTGTGTGAATGCTCCCCTGGTCACCGCCGAGACCTGAGGTACCAGGCTCAGCGATGAGTCCAGGATCACACCCAACCCAGGACCCCTTGTTGATACTAAAATCCATGGATGATCAAGTCATATGACATACAACGGCATAATAAAATTGTGTCTCTTAAATGGCAAAAAAGGTTTCCTATTTGGATTTAAAAAAATATTTTCAGGGTGTAAAATGGTTGAATCAGTGGATAAAGTGGATTCAGAATCTGTGGATATGGAAAGCCAACTATCCTCCATAGTGAGGGATAACTATATCTGTTTAACTAAGGCTGCATTTTGCAACCAGCAGAGATTTTACAAGCTTGCCTAGTTGGCTCTACAAACCTTCACTAGAGAGGTGTAAGTTGTTATATAGGGAAGTAGCCCTAACTTAAAGCCACAGGGTACGTTACTCATTGGTTTCTGAGATAGTAAGAGTGCTGTACCCACAAACATTCAAGCCTGTACACAGTCATTGGGGATTAGAAACCTGGGGAGATCAGAGAGCAAACTGAGGTTCCCAAAAAGCTGGATTTCACATCTATTGCCACATTCTGTGCTTCCGTTGCACTCCTTCAGCGTCAAGGCCTAGGAACAGACCTGCTTAAGAGGCCCACAAAGCTACATAAATAGCAGGAAAGAGCTGCCACTAAGATATTCTCTGCAGTTGAAAACAAAAGACAAGCCCACTATCACTTCAGGCCAACAATAGGCCAGTCACAAGACTCTGCAGGCTCAAATGCATAGAACAGGCTGACTCCCTGCTGGCCGATGACGTAACATCTCAATTCAAACCATTGTCCTTTGTATTCTGCAAGGTTATGAGCTGTTCATTCATAGGCACGTCATTCAAATTTGTCACATTTGTCTGTGTCATACATGCCGCAGGGTGATCAGCACAACCCCGGCCTTGTGAAAGCAGTATTCTGGCATATTTCCTCAAACCACCAATAGTTAAGCATGCTCAAACGTTAGCAAATGTTGACTGCATTGCTGCATGCCACAGTTATGTGGGAACACAGATCAAGGTACTGTTCTCTTAGGAAAATACAAAGTTGCTTCCTGAAGACCCGTTGGGGAGATGGTGGCAGGGTATAAATAAAGATTATTATTATTATTATTATTATTATTATTATTATTATTATTATTATTATTATTAGCTCTCTCTTGCCACGCATTGCTGTGGCCCAGTCTGTTGATCTGGAAAATAAAGTAATGAGAAAGTGTTGGCTTCTAATATATGTAATTTCTTTAAGCTTGTGCATAAATAGTATTTCTTGCTGTTTTTTGTCAGTATTGATGTGGAGATTGTCTGGTTAGCCCACTCTGGAACATGCTACATAGAATTGTCCTTCTTTAGGGGTCCTTTTCAAATCTAGGATACTATATCTGTGTGTGTGTAAATCATATATACAGTATATTCTGGCGTATAAGACTACTTTTTAACCCAAGAAAAACTTTTCAAAAGTCAGGGGTCGTCTTATACGCAGGTGTAGTCTTATGCATGGGAGTCATATTAACTCTATATTTTAACTGGAAAAGTTGGGGGTCGTCTTATACGCCCAGTCGTCTTATATGCCGGAATATACGGTATCTATCAATATCTATGGCTGGATGGCTCTTTGTCAGGAGGGCTTTGATTACGTTTTCTTGGCTTGGTGAAGGGAGTGGCCTTAAGTATTTTCTGTTGGTCATAGGGGTTCTGTGTGGGAAGTTTGCCCCAATTTTGTCGTTGGTGGGGTTCAGCATGCTGTTTGATTGTAGGCAAACTATAAATCCCAGTAACAACAATTCCCTAATATCAAGGTCTATTTCCCCCAAATTCCACCTGGGTTCATATTTGTGCATATGGAATATTCATGCCAAGTTTGGTCCAGATCCATTATTGTTTGAGTCCACAGTGGTCTCTGGATGTAGGTGAACTACAACTCCCAAACTCAAGGTCAATGCCCACCAATCCCTTCTCCTGTTTTCTGTTGATTATGGGAGTCCTGTGTGCCACATTTGGTTCAATTCCATCGTTGGTGGAGTTCAGAATGTTCTTTGTAGGTTAACTATAAATCCCAGCAACTACAACTCCCAAATGACAAAATCAATTTTTTTGAGTGATGGTCACTCCTTGGGTTAGTAGGTGTCTTGTGGCAAAATTTGGCAGCAATTCATCCAGTGGTTTTTTACTTATGTTAATCCCACAAACGAACATTACATTTTTATTTATATAGATTAAGTTATATTAAGGTGTGTGGGTTTTTACATGAATTAGAGCAGCCAAACGGTACTAAAGCCTAAAGGGGAAGACAGAATTGCTTTCACAAGTCCACTGGAAAAGAATGAGAAACTGTTTTTGGAGTGAAAACATTCTCATACTAGATGACCAGCCACGCTAGAGAAAATCCAATCCCATGATTAAGTGTCAAGCTGGTTTTGTTGGAACATATTCTGCCCAGCTGCTGTTCCATAAGAGCAACAGCAGCAGCTGAATTTTGCTTCTCCTTCAATTCTTTTACTAGTGATCCTAGACGAAAGATTCATTTACAAACCTCAAGAGGCAAGAAACCACCTAGCTGCACAGGGGGATTTTTACTACACAACTGGAAGACCGCAGGAAGGAGCTGACTGAGACAACCATGGTGACAATCTGCCTTTAGAAAGCCTGGTTGGCAGCTCACAATGGTCCTGACTTCCTTTCCTTGGAATATGTGGGGTGGGAAATTCTGCTGACGGTCCATAACTTGGATTGTCTCTTTCTTTGTGTCCCGCTTTCATTCTTTTTCTGCAGGACTGCAACCCATTAACAGTCAAGCCACGACTTCCTTCATTCAGTCCTAGTATCATCTTCCTCTTTTCCTACCGCCTATCACTTTACTTTTTTTCGAGAAGTAAACTATGAGAGAGCAGAAGCAACCTCTTAGAACTTCATTTATTAGGTGCTTTTTTAAAAGCCACACAATGAGAAAACATAAACATAGAATCATAGAGTTGGAAGAGACCTCATGGGCCATCCAGTCCAACCCCCTGCCAAGAAGCAGGAACATTGCATTCAAAGCACACCTGACAGATGGCCATCCAGCCTCTGTTTAAAAGCTTCCAATGAGGGAGCCTCCACCACACTCCGGGGCAGAGAGTTCCACTGCTGAACGGCTCTCACAGTCAGGAAGTTCTTTCTCATGTTCAGATGGAATCTCCTTTCTTGTAATTTGAATCCATTGTTCCCCATTCTAGTCTCCAGGGAAGCAGAAAATAAGCTTGCTCCCTCCTCCCTGAACCATATCATAGTTGTTGTTTATTCGTTCAGTCGTTTCCGACTCTTCGTGACTTCATGGACCAGCCCATGCCAGAGCTCCCTGTCGGCCGTCACCACCCCCAGCACTTTCAAGGCCAATCCAGTCACTTCAAGGATACCATACATCCATTTTGCCCTTGGTCGGCCCCCCTTCCTTTTTCCTTCCATTTTCCCCAGCATCATTGTCTTCTCTAAGCTTTCCTTTCTTCTCATGATGTGGCCAAAGTACTTCCATCTTTGCCTCTACTATCTTTCCCTCCAATGAGCAGTTGGGCTTTATTTCCTGAAGTATGGACTAGTTGGATCTTCTCGCTGTCCAAGGCACTCTCAGCACTTTCCTCCAACACCACAGTTCAAAAGCACCTATCTTCCTTCGCTCAGCCTTCCCTATGGTCCAGCTCTCACATCCGTAGGTGACTATGGGGAATACCATTGCTTTAACTATGTGGATCTTCGTTGCCAGTGTGATGTCTCTACTCTTCACTATTTTATCGAGATTGGACATTGCTCTCCTCCCAAGAAGTAAGCGTCTCCTGATGTGATGCTTACTCAGCAGGAAACCTTCTCTGTTGGGAAAAGGTGTGCCAACCCATACTGTGTGGAGTGCTGCTCCTCAGATCCGTTGGATTGCAACTGCCATAATTCCCAGAATGGCTAGTGTCCCTTCTA